CTGTGTATTACAAAGTTGTATCGAGAAATAATAAACTAGTTTCAATTAAGAAAGGACTTGTATCGCTAAAGTTATTCACAAAGAATTTATACCGGAAATTAACGAACAAACAGAGACGTAACAAATTGGTTTCCAAGAGTGGGATAGAGAAAAAAAAAGAAAAAAGATGAAAACTATAAAGCACTGGTAACTGCTCTAGAACTCAGGTATGGAACTCAAAATCAGTCCGAAGTCTATGGGGCTAGGTTTAGGACTAAAATCCGTGCTAAAGGGGAGAGCCTGCAAGAGCTGGCACAGGACTTGGAAAGTATGGCACACAAGGCCTACCCAACTGCACCACCCGATGTCCTCAAGCTGTTGCTGAGGGATCAGTTTGTAAACGCCTTGGACAGTCCACAACTAAAGATACGTAACAATATATATATATATATAGACACACACATATACGCGGGCGCGTGCACACGCGTTATACATATTTAGTATTATATATTAATTATTCTGGAGTAGATGATTTTTTATTTTTAGGTCCTGTACCCGAGAGTATGCTTCCTAGTGGCAATGAATTTAATTTATTTCTGTTGTTAATGGATAGCTTGCTCTTGTATTATTTTTTCTTTCGTCAACAACTATGCTGGGAAGTAATTCCACCAAAAATCATGGAGATTCACAATGTTTGGGAATAAAATTTGTCATAATTACGATCGATTTCAGTTGGTCAAGATATATTTGGTTCTTGGTGGATAAATTTCATCTTCGACGACATTTCCAGTCTGGAAAATAAACTTTCAAAACTGCATACTTCAACTTCCCAGACTTAGTACGAACCCCATGTTTAATAGAGGCGAAAACAGCCGACTTATGGCTGAAACCAAACTACTGGAAGTTGATATGCTTTCTTATTTTGTTCTGTTTAAAATTCAAGATATTCTGCTACTTTTAACGTGAGGGGCTTCAATTGTTACCAGTGATGCCTTTTCAATATTTAATTTATATAACCCAAGTGCTTTCGGAAGGTCTACTTTATATAACCCGAGTGCTTTCGGAAGGTCTACTTTATAGAACCCGAGTGCTTTCGGAAGGTCTACTTTATAGAACCCGAGTGCTTTCGGGTGGTCTACTTTATATAACCCGAGTGCTTTCGGAAGGTCTACTTTGCGTTTCGTATTTTATATTTATATAATTTTTTTGATCCATTTGTGATTCTTTAGAATCATCTCGTATAATAAATGTTTATAAAGTGGGTTTTTATTGCTACTTTGACCCAGGAAATGAAGTGAAGGACTAGATGCACTGAAAAGTGTTTAAAGTAGGTAGTTCAAGAAATGTTTCACTGAAGTTTTGTTTCTTTGTAATTAAACAGAAAGCTACACAATGGGCTATCTGTGTTCTGCCCACCACGGGTATCGAAACCCGAATTCTAGCGTAGTAAGTCCGCAGACATACCACTGAAGTTTTACACACTTTGCTATTTGGAGTTAATTTTTAGCTTAGTTTACTTACCCTAGGGTAAAATTTAAAATATAACCAGTGACATACAGGTTTAATACGTTCTTTGATTCGTTTCACTAGGCCTCTACGTCACAGATGATATTTTCAGTTTTATCTTTGTGAAAAGAAAAAAAAAATCTGTGATCTATTCATTAAACAGTTGGTTCCCATAACAAATTATGTAAAATGTCATAATATTATTAACACGTCTAAATAAATTTTGGTTACTAAGTGTGAGTTAAAAAAGAACCCCATAAATAGTAGCTTATTTCAGTTTTCGGGGAGCTGGTAGATGTGATGATCTATCCCAAGATAAATTACGTTTGCTCAGGGGAGTTTAGTTATTTTTTTAAATCAAAGAAAGCATGTTCAAAATGAATCATTTTCAACAACGCTGACAAGACCCTGTTAATAGTGAACTAATAAATTACTCAACCTTTCACGCCCTCTATCTTACTGTATAAATAGTGTCAGGGAAGGAGAGTTTAGTTTTTTTTTCTCTGATTCTTAAAAAATCTTGATATTTTTTTTATAAATAAATTTTTGGTTATCAAGAACACAAAACGACAATGAAAGTTTTAGATGGGTATCAAGAACACAAAACGGCATTGAAAGTTTCAGATGGGTATCAAGAACACAAAACGGCATTGAAAGTTTTAGATGGGTATCAAGAACACAAAACGGCATTGAAAGTTTCAGATGGGTATCAAGAACACAAAACGGCATTGAAAGTTTTAGATGGGTGCAAACCTTGTGATTTAGTTTACTCTCTAACAAAACTATATAATTTACCCAAGACTGATTACTTGAGTCTATAAACGTGCCACAAACTGTTGAGTAACTTGCTGTTCACTTGTGATAAAATCTTTGAACATTTCTTTCAATAACGTTTTAATAAAACAAATTAAAGTAACTGAACTTTAGATTTAAACAAAATAATTAGAAGTGATTGTCACTGTGATTACTATTGATATTTCGGATGGTGAGAAATGTATTAAATTATCACACAGGGAATACAAAAACCACAATTCAGTTGTGTAAAGTCATGATGAAGTAACTACTTTGAAGCACCGAATAAAACAATATAAGATATTGTCAAAAGTTGTATTTTACCAATCTTAGCAACACTTGGCGAGAGATAAGACGTCCACTGTACAGATAATTCGTTTAACAACTGTGGTTTTTAATAAAGTTTGTAAAAAATACCATTTCTTATTAAAAATTCATTAATATTCTGATGTTACGTGTGTACATTGTCTTATTGGTTTTGTATTTATTTCCTGTGTACCTTCGTTTTTTTGCTCCTTCAACAGTATAGGTCTTTCTGTGTGATCTCACAATGAACCTGTATTAATACCCTCTGGCAGAGTGTTATTAAACTTGACGATGAGACAAAAGAATCCTCGAAACTGTACAAATAAACCTATATTTTCAAAATAGTACAATGTTATTAATAAACAAGAACAGCTGATTCTGCTAAATTCTTTCACGGTATTATAAGTAGAAACTGAAGCACGTTCTTCATGGTTGAGGTAATTTAATGCTTATTCAGAACTTCCATGATAATAAGCTTTTGTGTGTTTTCAACAAAACAAAAATTCAATGACTAATCAAGTATGTACATTAATATCTGTCTAAAAAGTAATTTTATATAATTCCATAAGTAGGATCCATTGTCCTGTAATAAAAGTATATTTTAAGAACAAGAAAGCACATAATATATTGTTGCGTCAGCGAGGTCACGTGACTAGCGTCACGCCACCTATTTTCTAGAAATATCTTGTTCCTTCGTGAATGCTCTAGCATTTACTAGATATATGTTTGTCTGGTATATATATATATATATATATATAA